AAAAATAAAACATGGGTTTTTGTCAACAGACATAAAGATAAAGAGGTAGTTGACTGCAAATGGATTTTCAAAATTGAGGAGGGGGACTCTAAAACTAGTGATGGCAATTTGCCCCGTCCCGCCCTGATAGGTTGATGGGGCGGGGCGGGGCGGGGTTGCCCCACCCCGGACCCGCCCCGTAAAAAAACAAAAAACAAAAAAAAGGTATTACACAAACACTTGCCCAGTTGCCCAGGCTGTTGCCCTAAGGTATTACACAAACACTACGTAGACGGCAGACAGAGCAAAACGAACTGAAGGCAGAAATCCCCACTTCCCCAATCCCCATTTCCCCACAAACAATTGCCCTAATTTTCATTTTCCTTGTTCGACTTGTATTTTCAAGTGCACAAGATATATTTTTGGTGGGGAGAAAAAGAGGTATCTTCTATGATTCTATTGATTGATCTTTAAAGATTTCGTCTTGGGTACATGATTGTTGGGCTGTTTGCTGAAGTTTTCCAAGAGCTTGAGTAGATCTTCTTCTGAGGTCTTGTTTCTTTGAGCTTTTATTTATTTAGTTATTTGATTTTCATTCTATAGGTTTCAATACCTGCTTATGAGCTTTTTTCTTCATGTTGATTGCTGTTGGTTGTGGTTGATCACTAATAGATGGAGGTGGGTGAAGAAATATTTGAGGAAATTCTGGGTTTTTTTATGAATGCATTGAATGGAAGGGTTTATGTATTTGATGTGTTGGAAACTGAGAAATAAAGGAATCTGGTTAGATAAAAATTATGAGCCCTTAGAAAGCCAAATCCGATCCCTTTCTTTTGCATAAATGCCAAGAAATATCAATTATTTATGGTTAATCTGACTCTGTTATGTTTGTTCGCTAAATTTTGAAAGCTGGAAAAGATGAATGTTAAAAGTTTCTTTTGGTGTCTGATATGTTTGTTAAGAGGATATAGAAACAGGAAGATGATCGATCCTTTTACAGATCAAATTATATGCGTTTTTGGCTCATATGATTTTTTGAGAAAGGCTATTGAATCTTTGAAACAACCATGACTAGTTGGTATCTTTTTTGTTCTACCTTTTTGGACTATTTCAATTTTTAATCTAAATGAACATCGTTGCCCATTTCTGTCATTGTTTTGCTCAATATTGTAAAAACTCTAAAATCTGTAAAATCCAAAATCTGTGCACACTCTTACTGCCAGTCCGGTCGGTAAGAACCAGTGTTTTCTGCAAATTGTAAGTTATTTAGTTATTTATCATTTTCTGAACCTAGGAATTATTGTTTGTGAAAGATGAAAAATCATTCTTGTT